TATATATATTATTGAAAACTTTTATTTTCAAATGATATTTAGGTTGATAATAAACTTAATAAATAATATATAATAAAAAATTATAATATTTCAAAATACATAAGTAAAAATATATATAGAAACTTATTAAGATAATAAATTATATTATATTTTTGATAAAAAATTTATAAACATCTTTAAACTATTAATAATTCAGATTGATAATATTATATAAGATATTATAATATTCTCAAATATATAAGCAAAAACGAACATAGAGAATTATTAATATAATAAACTTTATTATATTATAAAGAATCTTTTATTTTTAAAATCAAGTATTATTTCTAATAATATTAATATTACGGGTATTGATACGATGTAGAATCGACATCGGGCTAATTATTAGTCCGAAAGCGAAGAGTTTTTATATATATATAACTTTAGGAAAGAGGTTTCGAAGGAATTAATAAAAAGTCTTATTCTTAGACCTACATCTATATTATACTAGTCGTCACCTTGTATTGATTCTAACAATTAATGATTTAATAATTTAAACAAATAGCATTTCCTAAAAATTTATAATATTTCGAAATATATAAGCGATAAGTTATATAGAAACTTATTAATATTAAAGATTATTTATTTTCTTAAAATTTCTTGATTTCGAAATCAAGTATTATTAATTATTTCTATTATTAATGTTTCTTTTAGTAAGGATTTTTAGAATTCTAAATGTATTGTTTTAGCTTCTTTATTAATTATGTTTTTTATTATTCGAGATATATAAAGATATTTTGTTAAAAAAATCAAAATTTTATACAAAAAGTATTCTAGTTATTATAATCATACCGACTTTTTATTCGTCGTTTTTAGTTGCTGATATGATCTAATCCCTTATTAGTCTAATCTTATCAAAAATTTAATAATAAAGCTTCAATTATCTTATTCTTCATCACGCTAAAGGAAAATGAAATACTTTAAAGTACTTGACTATTCTAGGATACCTAGTCACTTTAATAAGTCACTCAAATGATCATACTAATTATACTTAGATACTCATTAATAAAGATTGTTATAAATATCCAGGCCTGACCAATCTTAACGAAAGTCTAAATCCAATAACGAAGAGCCTTATACATACAGCTCTGAAATTTGCTACGATGTTTGATTGCTCAATTCTAGACTCCAAAGTAGAGACAAACAGTAGGAAGTGATATAATGCTATTGAGCCTAAGAATACTTTTCATTGTCGAATTCACATTTAAGCAATCAAAAGTGTCATGAGGCTATGAAAATTGAGAACCTGACTGTCTGTATCTGGAGCCTGATAATGGCGAGTATTGGATTCAATATCTTAGACCATGGCAGTCATTCTATATGCTCTCAATGTACATCGAAGCTTCTCTGTGACTACCCATCTATTACACTTAATAGTCAACAAAGAGACATGGATACTATCCCGGTTAAGAGAAGACACATGCATCACCGGATACCAACGGATGCTACAAAGCTACCCGATATATGTATCCGAATAATCACTCGACCAATTCTGATATAGCCGGATGGATATGTCTTTACTAACGTTGTCTGGAAGTGAGCTCATGATATAGGTTGCGCAACCACACTTGCATTGCATGGCTTCTCCTGGGCCGATGCCAACTGCTGTGTTGGTGTGTGCGGTGGGGCCACATTGTCAGAGTAGCCACCACAAGAAGTTCTAGAATGTCATCAGTATAATTATGGTATGTCGTCTGCATGAACCAATCGGTGCTGCCGCTGTGCGACGACTTGGAATAGGCTCAGAAGTCTATGCAATGTCCTTGCAAGTGGATATTTTCCGGTCATCTTGAAAATCATCAGATGGTAAGAAAGGCTTTAATCATGCGAGAATGGCTTACGGGTGATTATGGATGATAGCCACAATCCTATGGCGTAGTTAAAAATCCATTCAGCAGTTAGCCAAGGAGAGGCAAACAAATTAGGAGGATCTTTCATTGTTCACCGATGAAACTTGGCTCGTATGCACTTGATTTTAGCCCAAAAAGCATTTTGTAATGGTGCATACGTTAGTGTTGCATTGGGTTGGTAAACAAATATGTTCTGCCGTGAGCACTTGGCACTTGGCAGATTACATACAAAATATATCCTAGTCATCCGATTGTTCATCAACAAAAAGTCAGCTTACTCATATATTAATCTTCGGGAATCGTGTTACCCAAGCTCTAACGTGGCAAACAGAATGACACCCTTCCTTTTGAAAAATCCTAGCTACAAAGTTGCAACGAATGCCAAGATCTTTTTGTCCTACCCCGCCTTCCCTCGGTACTTGAGAAATTATCCCTTGAACTCGTAAGCGATAAATAAGCTTCTAGATCTATGTAAGATTTCCTTCAACGCTAATGCTACTATGTTAAGACATGCATTTACGATAGGGTGTGGGATATATTTATTTATATGTTGAACTAGCTCTCCTCAGAAATCCTTCAACATCATGGTGAAAGCAATGTGAGACAACTAGCTCATCAGGAGAGGCAAGACATACTGATGCTAAGCATTTAAGGCAGCAAAAGGGGGAAGGGGGTGTCATTCTTTTCCTAGGCAGTTTTAGATGCACGGTTTAATTGCTAAGGAGAATGGACCCTTCTCGGAGGCGAACCGAGTTTGTATAACACAGGAAACAATCAATGACATACACGTCTAGAAAATTAACAGTCAACCATCAAGATACTGGTGATACAGACCAAAAGTTGTGTAGATTGATGTTGTCAATCTTTTGAGGTATTATGAAGTATCAACCTATGTTCAATCTCAAGTTAAATCAATAATGCTTTGTTTCTCCTGCCAGACTACAACATAGAAAATGCCTTTTGAACTCAAATGACCAGCTAATCTCCTCAAAACTAAAGTGATGAAGCCACTGAGATCATAAAAATCAAAATCTAGATGTCAACCGTTCCAGAAATCACATGTTAGATAGAACAATAATTTTTAAAGCAGATAGGTATAAATTCCAAGCAAGCTAATAATATACATAAACCCCCAAATCTAAAATGAAAATCTTTAAAACCACATCTCTAAACTCCCCAAAACAATCTGCGCGAGCAGTAAGATATAAGCCATCTAGAAAGAAAGCAAAGCAAGAAGGTATAATAAAACAACTGCAAAACCCCCTCTCCCCAACAAACGGAAAATGAAAACAAACAAACACCCCTTAAAGAATCAACGAAAATTCTTCCCCTTAAATATTGCACAACAAGAATACATCCTCCACCATCAATTAAACCTCATACCATATGCATACTCCCACTTAGTAAGAGAAAGGCCCAACAAGATTCCCATGCGACTTTCCCCGACTCGTCAAAATCGCACTAACATTCTTCATCGCACTCTCATGAAACTCCTGGAAATCAAAATCCACACTGAAACAAGCATAGATATTCCACAACCAACTGCTAGAACTCGATCCAATAGCATGCACATCCATGATATCCCAGGTTCCTCCAAGAATCCCTGGCGCGCCAGTCGTCAAGTTGAAATAGAAAGGCGCGTCGGCCATTTGGAATTTCTGGAAAAACCCAGCATTGTTAGGATAAGTTTTCCACTGTGTGAGTTCTTCGGTGATGGGATAGACGCCTGCGCCGGGAATACCGCCTAAGAGGTTGCGCTTTGCGCCGGGAGTGAACCCGGTACCGGTGACGGATTCGGGAGCAGTTCCGAACCAAGAGGTCACGAGGAAGTCACCAATGATGGATTTGAGATCGGAAACCGAGGCGGGAATGATGGCAATGGAGGTGGAGACTTGATAGTAGGTGCCTGCTGGGCAGGAGCAGGGCTGAGGAGTCGGTCCGCAAGTGGGAAGCTTGGGTGGGGAAGGGGTGGGTCGAGACTTGGATAAGGAGTCTACGGTGGTTGCAGCTGGTAAAGCTAGGACCGAAGCAATGAGAGGAGCGATTGCGAGGATAGAGAAACGCATTTTGATTGTTTTTTGATTGCTACTTTAGTGAAGATTGGATTGTATGAAAAGGCTTGTAGAAGACTTTTGAAGTGTTGATTGATTGTAGTGAATTCTGTAGGTAATCTGAAGATGGTTCTGGAGGATGATATTGCTAGAATTGCTGTGCTATTGTGCTGCTGATGCTTGAGATAATGATGATGTTGTTGATGATGATGAAAAGGAATTTGACATCTGGAAATGAAGATCTTCTTATACATTTTCGAACACAACAATCCCATAGCCACAAGCTCTATCAGCCTTCCAAAACCTCACGACTTCACAGTATTCACTGGCGGCTCCGAAAAGTCTTGTCTCAAGCTCAAAGCTCAAAGCTCAAACGGCAGAGAATCCTACAATTAGATTTTCGAGAACTGTGCCCCACGTGGATGACAGCGATGTAAGTTGGGGAGTGCATCAAAATAGATCCTACAATTCCAAATCCTTGGTTCAGTATCCCACTTTAGGTCATTGCTGATAGCAAAGCCACTCTGATGGCAGCTTAACAGGGGCTGAGATCTCGGTTTTCACGTGGATGACTGCATTTCTGATCGTACCTTACAGATGTCAACCCATTCATTCGGTGCTGAATCTGAAATTCAAGAGCCAAGAGCTCAACCACCCTGCAAGCCATGTGCTGGATAGACTTGTACGTCGTATCTTACTCTATTAGGCATGGTAGCAAGGCTGAAAACGTGGTTGAGATGCATGGTGAGAATGATCGGACGCTGCATGCAGCATGACTCGGAGATCTATCCGAGACGCAGGTGCTTGGAAAATTGAAAGGATTGAGCCTCAAAGCTAATGGATCCAATATTACGAGTGACTTTCGTTTAGTTGTGAGTCTTGCCAGGGGCTGACATCGCTAGTGCTTCTTCATCTGACAAGTAAGCGAAGGGGCGACACAATTTTTGTCGGATCCGGTGACCGGATATCTATCGACCGACCGGATATGTGGATTATTATCTTACTATGTAGCTTATTATAATCATATTGACTCCATTTCAAGATGATAAGCACTGGATTCCGGTTTGCTTGCTCCGGTGTCGTCGGATTAGATATATCCATATTCTCTTGGTACTGAGAATATCATGACAGATGGCATATAAGTTTGGTCCTTCCTGGTATTCTTATCATCACTATCGATCATTCAGCAGATAAAATGTTTCCAAATACTCTTATTGCAGGGCAATTTGTCATCGCAGTTGTCTTATGCGGCTGTTTTATTTTCAGAAAGCCTTTGACGGCGACCTGTAATAATATTCTTTCAAGGGTTCTTAACGTAAGTTACTGCGCCCCAATAACATCAGATGTTCTTTATTTGTCATGGATATGAGACTGATTGAAAAATAGTTATACTTGTCATATCGATATCCTGTCAAGCATGTCGAATTTGGACATAGACTTCCAGGTTGCGATTATGAGTTCCCCAATGGTCAAGGAGACGGTGCAAAATTCCTTTATGGAAAAGAAAACAGCGAATTATGGGGATCAAAATATGGTTCTATCTACCAAATCTGGTCAGGCCATAAACCAGAAATGTGAGTGTACCATTTGGATTTTTATCCGGACCCAAAATCAAAAGAGGGCTAAGTTCTAATGTGAATCATAGTGTGCTCACTCAAGCTGCCGATATTCAAGCCGTCTTCAGTGACTCAGATAAACATTTCAAAGCTGTGAACAACAATTCCGGATATTTGTTAGGTCAAATACTTGGTCAATGTGTTGGATTGATCAGTGGCCAGCAATGGAAGCGTGTTCGCTCTATTGTTGAGAAACCATTCCATCGTAGTATCACTCCAAGATATGTTCCAATGATTGAACAACGAACTACTTCATTCTTTCAAGAACTTTGGGACTCTAAAGATTTATCGCGTGGACTTATCGACCCAGCAGATGATCTGAAACTTCTCCCATTCTTGATTGTGGCAGAAGTCGTTTACGGGAAGCTAGCTCCAGATGTCGAGTCCGAGCTCCGTGCCCTCGCTCCGATCCGAGAATCCTTCTTCAAGCACGTTATCTCGGGTGGGCTAACTCGTTTTGAATGGTCAGCTTACCTTCCTACGCAAGCAAATAAAGACCTTGCAGCATTTAAAGAACGATGGATTGCATTCAACGAATTTGCTTATCAAAGAGCGAAGGAACAAGGGCTCAATGCCCCCATCGTGGACTTATTCGCCGCAAAAGAAATGGGAGAACTAACCGAGGATGAAATGTTGCATACTCTTGACGAGATGCTATATGCAAACCTTGATGTCACAATTGGCGGTGTAAGCTGGAATCTTGTATTCCTTGCATCTGACGTATCCGTTCAGGATCAATTACGAGCGGAATATCAAGCTGCCCAAAAAGAAGCCGACGAAAACGGTTTGACGCTAGAGAAGTACCTGTCGAGTAGTACAACCTTCCTCGCTGCTTGTGTATCTGAAGCTTCTCGTCTACGCCCTCTCGCCGCATTTTCTGTCCCGCAAAGTATTCCCACACCAAGAGTTGTCGGAGGTTACGAATTTCCGGCTGGAACAAATTTTGTAATTGATTCATATGCTTTAAATATCCGTAACTCATTCTGGGGGGAAGATAAAGCCACATACCGTCCAAGTCGTTTTATGGAAAGAACCGCAACTCAAGCACGATATAACTTTTGGAGATTTGGATTTGGTCCAAGACAATGCATGGGAAAATTTGTGGCAGATACATTGATACGAAATATCTTGGTACATTTGGTAAGAGAGTATGATTTATCATTGTTGAAAACCGAAGAGTGGCAGAGAAATCCTGAGATTTGGATTAATCATCCGGATATGAAGTTGAGGTGTGTGAAAAGAGAAGGATGAGCTTTATGATATCGGCGCTTTGATGATTGGGCAACTAAGCTGCATTTTCTGGTGGCGTATCTTGTGTCCCTGAAAGTCATCTTGAATGTATAGAGTTCGATATGACATTGAAAAAGATAACTTGGCGGGTATCTTTCAAGCCACATTGAATAAAAAATCATCTTTCAATCAAAATTCCTTTGACCTTGTCGTATTTGATCTGTGCTTGAGATAGTATCTGTACGAAAAATAGAGAATGGTGCATGTATTGAGATCAGTGGTGAAGATGTGCACATGCCCAGAAAGCAAAGTACACCCAATTTCATAACTAGCTTCCAAAACCTTAAATTTTAGTCCTCATATGATTTCTTCTCAAATATACATTCTAATTTTTTAATTTATATTGTTTTATTTATATTTCCACCACCAATACTCCAATTTAATAAATAATTAATACAAAATAATTGCAAAGACTAGAGAACCTAAATACCTTGCCGAATAGAAAGATCTATCTACTCCTTCTTCTAAGAGATCTATTAGAATCCCTAAATCGATTAAAAAAGTTTTAGATATAAAGCAAACGCTTATTTCTAAACCAAATATTACCGTTCTATTATCTAAAAAGTCCAAGAAACTTTTTCCAAAGAATATAAAACCTTAGAAGAGTATATTGAAAAATAAAAGAGCTTTTACTGCCTTTATTGTCTTTACCGCCAGTTTTGTTTTTCCTATAATTCCTCTTTCAGAGCCTTTTAAGATTAGCTCTTCTTTGCCTAGTATACTAGTATTGCGATATCGATCTCCTCTATATAAGCTTGTCTTCAATTCTGAAATAAAGGATATAATATATAATATATTCTATCGATTCTCCTTTAAATAATATATCGATAAAAAAACAATTTCTACAATTTATAAAACTCTCAATATCAATAATCCCTTTCGAAAAAACTTTGATAAACTTTCAAAAGATATGCAAAAAGAAATAAATGAATAGATAGATATTAGATATATATTTATAAAGAATAAACCAATTTTATAACAATAAATAACTTATACAAAACTAATAAAGAGGAATAAAAACAAATTTAATAATATCTTTAATAAAAAGGAATAGAAGAATATTTTTTGTAATTTTTATATATAAAAACACTTTGATAAAAAGTATTGGAATACTACTAGAATAAAGATTTATTATATTTGTTCTGAAAAGTATATTTCTATTCTTTCTATTGATAAGGATTTAGATTCTAAAAAGAAGTATATTCGATATATAAAACTAGATTCAAGTTTAGAAAAAGATATAAATAATAATAATAATAAACTAAATATCGAATTAGAAAAGGAGAAGAAATATATAGAGCAAAATACTGTAACGAAGAAACAGTTAAAGAAAATGGATGTTTAAAGAAAGGGTAATTTTAAAGCAAAGAAGCTACAAAGAAAGGTTTCAGAATGTTAAAAATATTCAGAATATAGATATTCTAATATTAGTTGTTGTTATTAAATCTCTAATACTAAGAACTATTATATAGTATTTATTAATAAGCAATTTGAATAAGTAAAGCACATTATTAGAAAAACTAATAATATAATTATTAATCTCTCTCTATATACATAAATTACTGAATAAACTGCTAAACGGAATTATACTGTATTTAAAATATATAGTAATAAAAAGAAAAAAAAGGAAAAGCCCGTTTCTGCTTCTACTCCTATTCTGATATTATAGCCTATTATCAATATCCATTAATCTTCTCCTTCACTATCTCAATAACTATATCTTTCATCCTGAATTTATTATCAACAAATACCTCCCTAAATACTATCACTATACCTGTAAATGCCTAACTAGATATCTAATAGTCGATCTACAACTCTATCACTCTTTCAAATAATACGAGTACCTATTTTTTCATTTTTATATACATAAGAAGATTCTCAAATTTTATAAGAATATAATAAATGGTTAAATACTAAAACAATGGATCTTAGTTGGAGAAAGGCAATTAATAATATAATAAAACTAGTTTACAAAAAATTCCTTACTTTGAAGTAATTAAAGATTATTAATACTATTTTTTTTCTTAATATACCAACTAAAATTATTATAGATATTAAAAAAGACATTAGTATATTTAAAGTATATTATAAAAAGGCATAACAAAAGGAAGCAAGTAATGCTCTTCTAGGATTAAGAAGCTAATAGTTTAATAGTCAATAAATAATGGATATCTATATTTTATAATGATTTAAAATAATAATTTAATAATTAACAATTATATAAAATAAGCTTTTAAAGACTCTAAATAATAAAAACAATATTATGGATATATTCCATAATTCAAAAAGTAAACCCTTACCCTCATAGCTGTCTCTATACCTATATAATTCTCTCTGATTGCTTATTCAAAGAAATATTGATAAATATAGTGTTTTGAATGTTCAGCACAGTAGTAATAACGAATTAAACTCTTCAAATCTTTAAAGCTTGATTTAATAGAATATAAATTGAAAGAATATAATAAAAGATATCAAATTAAAATGCTATATTCTATTATTGCCTTCTTAATCTTATCTACAAAAGCATAATATACAAATATATTATTTATTAAAATAACAAATCTTGATTTAGGATATAGATTACAAAGAGGTAGAATATTTTCAATAATGAAATTAGAAAAAAGAGTAGTATCAAGTATATTTAAAAAGGTAATTGATATAATATACCCCTTAATTATATATACCGGTAACACTGAAACTCTTATGCAATCTTACAATTACCTTTATACCTTTATTTTAATCCCCTTTTTACTATATCCATACTTGCAATTCCTAATACACTTATCGCTACCAGATTCGTTAATGCAAACAATCTGATTCTATTAAAAGAATTACATTTTATCCATCCAATTATCTTTTAATTCCCTATTCCTCTATACTGCCTCTACTACTAATTGCTTTTGTATAAAGTCTATTCTCTTAATAGCCCTACAGATCGTTGATTGGTTAACCTTTACATTAAATATTTTTTAAAGAAAGTTTGTAATTTTGTTTTGATATAGTTATAATAATTTGTTATAAACCTTTTTTATTGCTTTATCCATTTCAGATATAATAACATTAATAGATCCACCAATATACTTTTTAATAGATTTCTTTTTTTCAATTCAATTCAAATAATATCTAATTATTCTAGTAATCGTTTTATAGGTTGTTACAAGCATTTCACAATAGTTTGGGGTAATGAATCTTTCTCGATGCTCTAATACGTACTCAATTCCACTAATATCATCTAGATAAAGCCGGGGAGCCATGGCAAAGACTAATTTTTATATTAACTTATAGTACTAACTTATAGCTTCAATTTGATATAAATACTATTTGTATTGGATATAGTGTTATAGAGTTATTTGTAGAATAAATTAATTATAAATTGTGTTGAGGTTAAATGATGTAAGGACTAAAATTTAAGGTTTTGGAAGCTAGTTATGAAATTGGGTATATTGTAAACGAGGAATATCTCCCATCCTATTCTAATATGATTTGAATACTTTTATTGCCAAAACTCGTTGTAACTCCAATCATTGTCCACATTAAATATACCAGCATCTGAAAAATCAAAGATGTCACCCTGAAACTAAATTGAAAATATTTGAATTAGTATTGATGTTATAAAAATCACACGAAAATCCATTGAATATGATAACTAGAAAATATTTACCTGATTCGCATCAGCCGCAAAAGTGGCTAACTGATCTACATATCCTGGCTGGGAGGTATAAATGGCTTGGTCCACAGTAGACATTGGGATATCCACTGCAGGTGTTGCTCTGATATTATTCTTACTATCCTGTAAAAGAATTAGTTTGATTTTCCCGCTTGCACAATCAAGAAGAAAATGCCTACCTCTTTCAGTTCTGGATTGTTGGATGGAAGTTTCATTTCTTCATCAGGAAAGGATTGTAGCAGCGTCTGCCTGCATGCTAACAATGCTTTCTTGGAACCTTCGTGCATCAAATTCTCTTTTAGATTCGATGTACCATTCGCTCGTACGGATTGCATCGCCACAGAAAGAATGAGAACATCTTTGAGATCACTACCAAATTCCCCCACTCTCTTAGTGAAGCCTTCTAGTGTACCTTCTACTATCCTAGTAAGCCTGGCTTTTGAAAAATGTGTATTTGTTGCTGGAGGGCTAGGTAAGGTTGTTGGGAATTGATTGGGTGTAAATCCTGGACTGGGCTCATTGCTTTGAGACCCTGATGCAGATGCTTTGATATATTGACAGATGCTCAAGACAGCGGCTAAAACGTCGTTCTTGCAACAAATTTGAAACATTGTCCAATGCAAGTTTGTACTCAACAAATCCAAATCTGCCACTGAGGGATCAAAATAATCTTGATAAGAAACAATGGCAACTGACGATTCCAAACAAATTTGTTGCATCTCTCGGAATAATGGATCATCTTGTCGCTCTTCCCATAAAAGCAATCGGTAAAGATTGAGAAAAGGTCTCCTCAGATATATATCCAATAAGACACAATCTAATAGATGAGAAGGAGAGCGTTGAAGTGTTCCATCTAATTTGAGTGGTACTGGAACACGTCGTAAAAGTTCCTCCAATTTCCTTCCTTCTCGAACAACTTCTGTAAGATCCATATTAGGACTAATATCTCTGATAAGTGAAACAACCTTGAGTTGTTGCGCCAACGACATGGCTAATGTGACCTGGGCGAGAGAGTCGGTCCATTCATATAAAGGCCTTGAAGGAGGAAGTTCAGTTGTAGATTCATCAAAATCCGCATCATTCAAATTTGCTGGAGCCAATTGAGTAAAGTCTATGTCAGGAACAATACTGGGCATGCTCGCAGCCATGGATGCTTGTAGGTCCATTTGAACAATTGTTGCCCAAAGTCTTCGTCTTAACTCAGCATGAAACGGTGAAATCTTCTTAAAGTCCGCTGGTCTCAAGTGAAGTCCCATCACCATGGCAGAACGAACCAAAGCCCCCGTAGCACACCAGAGCTTATCTGAAGAGATAAGTTGTAGTTGTCGAGCAAGTAAAAGCAGCGTTTCGATTTGCAAAGTTGATATATCAATTGCCTGCTTTCGACTTAGAGTATCGGTCCAAGCCGCCACAAGCTCGAGTGATGCCATTTCCAAATACGTCTTCTGGTCATCGTCAAATCCCGAATCACTATCGAGGAACTTATAACAGATCGCTAGTATGGCCGTCAATTGAGGTAAAAATGGTGAAGATTGAAATATTTTATCGTCGGGAGAAGTCCAAAAGTGCGAGTAAAGCCGAAGGAAGGAGGGCACATGAAGGATCCTTGAACTCTTTTCGAAATTTTCAGTATAGATCTTCAATAACCTATCACAAACAGGTTTTCCAGGAAGAAACTCTCGAAGTTTTGAAAGAACTGCAGCACTTTCTTGGCTCAATGTCTCTTTTCGCATCCTGAAATGACTTTGAGATTTTTGCTGCAGATATTGAACATCTTTAGCAAGATTGATGATGGAAGTATTACTTGTTGCACTCTTGTTTATGAAGTCTTTTGCCTCAGGAAACTTTGAATGGTGTTAGTATAGCAATACATCTGGTAGAACAAGTAGGAATAGATCCAGGTGGAACACATGCCTGATTTAACAAGGTGATTCGATCATTTTGACCATGATATCTACTCCTCGACCCTTTCACAATCAAGGTGCAGAGTCCCGGTATCAATCTTGAAGGAGCATTTGTACGTTTCGAAACTTTATGAATTGGTGATGGCTGTGATGGTAACTTTTGAATATTCGATAACTTTCCCGTAACTTGAAGTAATTCTTCAAGCCTTGCGACACGGGATTGAAGCTCCTCAACAACGCCGACCCCACCATTGCCCTGGGAAGGAATCAGTATTTGCCATTGTTGAAGTTATTTGCAGTAATTAAGTTGTGTAGAAAAACTCACCTGAACAATGTTCGAATTGTTTCCTATGGTTGGTGCGAATTTAAGATCAGGAGTACGATCTCCTGGTGAATGTGTTGAAGGTCTGGATTTTGAAATGGATTTTGAAGGGTCGTGATTGTAAGTACATTCAGCTGGGCCACTAGGTATCTTGGTACAATTTTGACATGGTAAGAGTCGATCGCATTTCAATTTCTTTTCACGACATCGCAAACAAGAAACAACTGGTCGTGGCCGTTTGCGAGAAGAATCAAATCGAGTATCCTCCATTTTGTAAAGCTTTGTGCTCGGTGCTTGCGAATATAAAAAGGCAGATGGAGATACGGAGTACAACACAATGCAATGCTGCCAATCCTCGTGGAAGTCGTGATACCTCAATTTGGAAAGGATCTGACAGAGAGAGGGGAAACCGGAGGATTAAGTTGTTTGTGTTCACTGCTTTTGGATGGGATGAGATTAGTAGGCACGAACCCTTGAAGCCAAAAAAAACAGTAACCTTAGTCAGATTCTCGTGACGGCTAAGCAAAAACCCCACGACTGATATTTACAAATGCTGGATGGAATAAAATATAAGATATGTACAGTACAGTAAGCTTTGCGTAATAGCCTGTCGTATGATCGACCGGGGAACTGTGCTCACTCTTGTTTTGGAAGGAGGTGAAAGGTTGTTTGAGTCTAGCACTCTATAGTTGTATAATATATTGCTTACCCGCGACGAGCACGAGAGTGGTGGTTGCAGTGGCTACGAGGCTAGAAACTTTGCAGCAGTCTGGAAAGAGCGGTTTTCACCAGGATGGTGAGCCTACTCACGTAAATGCAGCTTCCTTCGCCTCTTACTTCCCGAGATACCCAGTTCCTCTAGCTGACTTTGAACAATGGTTGATATTCTGTCTCGGCCTGTGTCGTTGTGTAAAGGCACTAAAGCTCGGGTGTGGAGGAAATGAAGGGGCTGAAAAGCGAGACTACCTATTAAATTCTTCGTTATACGGAATAGATTCGCAAACCATGTCAGTATCCATTAAAAATATACGATTGACCAATAAACAGAGATATATTTATATACCTCTAACATATTTTGCGGGTAAATATGGGTAAATATCGATGATTAATTCATGTGGGCCTGGACGGAGACATGGAGCTGATATATTTGCATACTGTACCCGTATAATCATCAATCAATCCACAAGATTTGAAGAATAATCACAAATCAAAACGCATGATGAGAGATGAGAGGTACACGATGAATAATGTATTGTACAACGACTCAACAGTCAGAGCTTGGAGTCATCCCATCTGTACTACCGTCAGCCTACTGATTCCACCATTTTAGATCCATAGACCTGAAGAAAAGATAAGCTCGGCATCTGGGAAAAATGCTAATTACGCCGTTCCATCCTTCAAGCAAATAACGCAACATCCGTCCACTCGATAACTCTAATTCGCCAATACCGGAGTTTGCGAATCCCACGTTTTTTGCTCTGCTGCGTTAATAAGCCAGACGGCTACGCTTTCTCGTGTGATACTAGCCATCATGGCGACCCCCATACCTTTATTGCCATACACTTTAACGGGCTTTGCTTCACCCTCCTCCAGTCTGGCTGGTCTGGCGAGAACATAATTAATATCACTAGCCTTGATCTCTTTATCCACCAAGTTGTGATCATCGTATTGCAGATACATGTTTGACTTCTTCATCAACATTCGAAGTAAGAAGTGCATGTGCGGCCAACTATCCCCCACTCCAAAAGCCTGCATCACAACAATCTTGCGAACATCAAATTCCTTCATAACAGCAATTATATTGGCATTTGAGTCTGCCATAAGCCTTGGTGGAGAAATAGATGCAGCGAAAGGGCTATCGGATGTACGAGGAGCGCTCAAAGTAACAATAACAACGGATGGGATGCCGGTACTTGCTTCGAATGCAGCTTTGATATCAGCCTTATTGAGAGGGGTGCCTGTATTGATGAGAGTTAGTCAAGGTACTTCTTGATATCTAGCTTGGATGCAGTGACTAGTTTCGGCATTTGGGGATAAGATCGTACTTCTTACCTTTGAAAAGCTTCAAACCATCCTTGGCTTCCATGGAAGAGGGGTCTCGAACTAAGGCTGTCACATCATGACCTAAATATCGTCATATCAGCTATCGGATGTCAGAAGCATAAGAAATGGCGACATCGCTGATCTCTTGGTAGGCTACTGCATTCTTACTATATACGCATATACGTACCTCGAAGTAATGCTTCTTCGATTACCATCTTACCCGTTCTTCCACTACCGCCAATCACAAAAAGCTGCATACTTATGGAACGTTAACCTTCAGCTGACTTTTGTCTTCTTGATTTCTTATCCAAAGTTCGATTAAGGATAGAAATGTTGTGTAATATGTGGTGGGTGATAATGAGGTGGAGGGGGAGAGCTGGCAATGCAATCAACAGACGATATCTCTGTTTCCTTATATGAAATCATGGTTATTCTTGAGCTCCTTCAAACAATGCTTTCAGCTATATATTTTGCTCTGTTCCTGAAGGTAATGCTTATGAAATCCGGAGCCGATCGGACCCGGCTCTTTCACGAATCATCCAATGAACAGCGCTGTCTTACATTAATCTCGGTTCACCTTGAGCTGTTTACTCCAGACAGGAAATCGGCTACAAGATGACTGTGCTACGTGGGTGTTGGATAACAGTAGAATTGTTGACGTCTAAATCACCAAGTGGTCACATTACCGGGGTTTAATAGTCCCTTTTGCTCTCAACATTTGGGAACAACTCAAGTTCTGAGACTGACTTTGTTTTCCAATCCGGTTGAATGTTATGATTAGATTCGGATTTTGAAAGCTTCTGAATGTCGGACTGTGGTATGGCCTGTTGGAAATCCTGCAATACTATGAAGTCGTCACAAACACTAATTTCTGAACCAGGGTACAGATGAAGCTAACTCATCTTTCAATTCCCTGATTGAAGAGTCTTGGAGACTGGTATTCGCCAAGCATTGATATTGATATTGATATTAATCCGGGACAGTCAACATAACGAGACCTAGACTTTTATCTATTCTCATAAACTCCAATCAGAACTCCGAGAAACAAGAAAAACGTTCAAACGCTTACAACCTCAATATTGACAGCCTCCTTTTCCAATACCTTTGACTCAGTTTCCCTTTTCTGTTGCTTCTTTTGCTCCGCGAAACTTTCAACCATTGCATGTCCGCCTCTTTCATTGAAGAAGAGGTTTAGATACATCCAAGTTTCCTTTGCATAACCCTCTGCACGATCAAACATGGCCAATTCATACTTTCTTACAGCTTCGGACAGACCGGCAGCATCCTCGAATCTCTCCTTTCCTGCCCAAATCGGCTTACGAGCAATTATAGCTCTTGCAAGTTCCATTCCATCCTCCATTGCAACATTTACTCCTACGCCTGCAAATGGAGTCATGAGGTGAGCTGCATCACCTAGTAGGGTTGCACTAAATAGATGGTCAGCTAATTGGTTTGGATTCTGGACGCGGGGAAATGAGGAAGGCAGTCAAAGGCTGAGTGAAAGAGATGGATTTTAAAAAGGTATCTTACCCTGCTCTGTGAAGCCATTTATGTCCTATTGGAAGCATATACATTGGTCTTGGAATTGCTTCTTCATCACTCTTGATAATCAAATCTTTCGCGTCTTGGTCCCAATCTTCGTAATATTTATCTACGAATTTTTGTCCCACACCAGGCGCGGACCAATCAATACCGCATGTTTCTTGCCAATTTTCAGGTCTGCGGAAGAATCCATACGTTTGAACAGATCCATCACCGTTACGCTGTGATAGTACAGTTTGATGGTTGCCGAGGGTGAGGCACATACCCAAGCCAACTCGTTTTGCGAGAGCTGGATCTTTCTGATCGATGTTCAACACTTTGGCTTCCACTCCAGTGATTCCAGCAAATTGTGGTCGCGTGTTGGATATTATATGTCGTACTTTACTCCATGCCCCATCTGCTCCAACAACCAAATCAAAGCCTCTCTCGACAGAATCTTGAAAGTGCAAATCATACGTGAGAGATGTTGCATCAGCAGATGTTTCGACACGTTGTAGCTTATGTCCCCACTTGATGCTCTCAGGCTCAAGAGAATCTAAAAGCATATTGCGAAGCTGGACTCTATCCACTTCAGGACGACCTTTGAAAGAATCTGGTCTGCTTTCACCGACATCTTTGCTCTCATCAAGGATGAGATTTCCAGAGGGGTCGTAAATTTTGAGGACTTCCCCCTCGGGTCGTGCAACTGCCAAGAATTTTTCATATAATCCAGCTTCCCGCAGCGCAACTTGTGCTGATCCTTCGTGAATATCGAGTGAGCCTCCTCGGCTTCGTGCATTTCTATCACTATCCAATTCAAATATGGTACATGGAATGCCATTATATTGAATGAGACGAGCAAAGGTCAACCCAGCAGGGCCAGCTATGATTTATTAGTCGAGAACTTCTTTTGAAAACAATAGTTCATGATAGTGACTTACCACCTATGACAGCAATTTTTGGAAAAGACATATCGATCAATAAATGACAATTTTAACTCTAAAAAATCTGTGTATCGACAGAGAATGGTGTCAGAAGTTTAAATCTCAACAGAATGATGATTTGAAATGCTACAATTGACGGTAAATGAGCTGGATTAATACATAATCCAGCGCGCAATATGAAGCCACTTCAAACTGTGAAAACGTGCTCATAACGTGCTGACATGATTTTTTTCGGATCCGGTACTACTGTAATGTTGAGATGGCGGACCCGTGAAACCCACATGCATGTTTGCCGAGAATACAACGTTTCTTATTTCTCACCATATACGAAAGCGAGGAAAGGATTGATGCACAGACTAAATCCTACACACTCTAGAAAGTCACTGGAAGCTGAAAAATGAACGTGACTAAGTCTCAAACAAAATTATCATATCAGCCTGCGAGTAAGAATGTGGAGACATAATAACGAAACCGTTTAGGTTACTCTCGGATATCCGTGTATCCATCGGAGATGCTCGGGATCAAGCGAATTTATCCCCTTTCACTAGATTCATATTGCTTGGCATTACCTTAATCAGACCTAAACTTGCAAGTAGAGCAGAGAATGGATCTTCGAATACAAGCTAAAGTATCATACGAGTCCAATATCTAATGTTTACTAGCTTCATGGCCCTAGGAGGCTGATATTGACGTCCGAAACTTTTCCTTTGACCCATAGTTATTCATGAATAGTAAACGTGCCTGATTGTAAATCCAAAGATT